AGGAGAATGTTAGAAGAGATGTGGGGGCTGAAAAAAAAAAAAAAAAAAGAGACTAGAGATAAGACACAGCAAAAACAAAGACTGGAGGGGGAACAACACTCACAGAGGGAGTCATAAAACTGTCGGATAATGATTGAGGAATCCCATGTCCAAATTCAGGCCGTTATCTCTTGGGTCAAATACAATTATCATTCTTAGTTCAAAAGTTTTTCTTTCCTGAATGTTTTTGAAATTTCCTTTACTTGAGGTGATTGTAGCCATTTTAGTGCATTTGCGACAGAAACAATTGAGTATTGTCCCGTGATACTTTTTTTATTTGCACTAACATACAATTTTGAGGACAAGCTTTCAGGGGAATCCCATGTCCAAATTCAGGCCGTTATCTCTTGTGTCAAATAGAGATTCTATTTACAAGCATGAAGGCAGAGGCATGATGGGACTTGTAGTTTCGCCACCCTGCTGTAGGGTGTCTCTGCTTTCGGAAAATATATCATTTTTTTGGGGGGGGTTATGAAATCTCAAGACTTAAACAGGGGCGGACTGACAACTCATGGGGCCCCCGGGCAACAGGGGATCATGGGGCCCCTGTGTCCTTGCCCAAACTCAAAAAAGCCTATGAAAAATGTACCAGGGGCATCTCATGGGGCCCCCTACTGACCCCGGGCCCTCGGGCAGTGCCCGAGTTTCCAAATGGTCAGTCCGCCCCTGGGCCTAAAATGATTTGTATAAATGTGTGTAAACGCCATCCTCACCCCCCGGGTAAAAAACTGCTTTTTTAGGGCTTCTCAGCCCACCCACGTTAGCCATGAATACAGCCCTGTGGTGAAATGCTGCCCCCTCCCTGTCTCTGGAGGTACTCCACCTGCCTCCAGTGGCTGAGGAAGGGGAAGGGTGGAGGACGGGGGTGCTACAACCAGAAGTTCAGGGAAGCATTGCTGAGGGGGCAGGAGAGAACCATAGTGGCCTTCATCGGACGGACCTCGGTCTTCTTCTTTTTTACGGTTCATTTAGTAAATCTCATGGCATGGCTGAGGTCAGAGTTACAATGAGGAAACAGAAAGAGACGTTTTCTTTCAGAGTCATTTTCTTTTTTATTAAAACAGAAAACATACAAAAGCTGAAGCCCCGCCCACAATGTAAACAATTGTAACTTATAGAATAAAATACAATGTTTTCTTTTAAAAAAAAAAATAAAAAAATACAATTGCTAAAAAAATATATTTATTATTATTATTTGAATTTTTTGGGGGGGATGAAAAGTGCAACTGTCCATATCATCCTATAACCTGCACAGCCTCTGTCCTTGTTAGAGTCATCATTAGAGTCCCTCCTTACATCAGGGCCCCCATCAGAGTCCCCCTTTCATCACAGTCACCATTAGAGTCTCTCCTTAAATCAAAGTTCCCTCTTAAATCAAAGTCACAATCAGAACCAATTTCAAACCTCCCCTCCCCCCCCATCAGATTTCCCAACAGACTCCCTTCTTGCATCATAGTTCCCCCATTGCATTAGAGTCTCCCGTTACATTAAGGTCCCCACCAGAGTCTTCTCTAACATCAGAGTCCTCCCTTTTGTCAGAGTCCCCGATTACATTGGAATCTCCATCAGAGCCCCCCCTTACTTCCATTAGATCACAGTCACAATTGGAGTCTCCCCTTACATCAGAACCCCCATTACATAAGAGTCACTGTCAGTTCCCCTTTACGTCAGAGTCCCCACTTATGTCAGAGTCCCTCTTACATCAGAGTTCCCTCTTAAATCAAAGTCACAATCGGAGCCCATTTCAACCGTCCCCACATCAAATATCCCAACAGAGTCTCTCCTTGCATCAGATTCTCCCCCTTACAACAGAGTCCCCTTCAAGGAATCCACCCTCGCATCAGAATCCCCTCTTACATCAGATTCCTCCAGTACATCAGGGTCCCCATCAAAGTCCCCCTTTACATCAGAGTCCCCCCTCACTTCAGAATCTCCTCTTACATCAGGGTCCCCATCAGAGTTCCCCCTTACACCAGAATCATCATCAGAGTCCCTGCTTACATCAGAATCCCCCTTACCGCTGTAAGATGGACACCATAGGCTGCCTCAGTTGCCATTGACAGAACACCTTGTAATTTTTCAAAATGAAAACAAGGTATTCGCTGATTGGACAAGGTGGAGATTGTGACATCATTGTCCTGCCTCTAAACCTCATCCAATCGGTGAACTCCTTGCATTCTGTGAAAGGCAGCAGTGCTGAGTGAGCACAGGGGATTTTAGGAAGCTGAAATAAAAATAAGACTCAGGTATCTATACAAGCTGTCACTGTCCCCGCCCCTTTCATTCATTGGACTTCAGTTCTTTCAATCAGGGAGGCTCAGCATCGCATGTTGGCGTTGCCTGGGGTGGTCTGTATGCAAATGCACCTGCCTTCGAAAGCCCAGGCTTTCAAGGTAATTAGGAATTTGCATAACTCCTCCCACATCTTGTATCAGGGCTCTGGAGAGGAACACTGAGGCACCCTGCCGGCCCCTCCCACCAGCCATACCATGCATAGAGAAGCACTGAGACCCAGTGGTGATCTCGCTGGATCCAAAATGGGATATGCAAAGGAAATAGAAAGGTTTTAATTAAAAAAAATGATGATGAGGAGGAGCCAGGGAACAGCGCCGGGACAAGGGGTGGGCAAGAGGGGCAGTTGCCCTGGGCACTGTAATATCATGTGGGGTTGAAGGGCCCCAGAAGGAGACTGGGGGGGGGGGGGGAGAGGATATATGTTAGGAATTTACTTTTTTGGGGGGTGAGATTTGTGCTAGTAGGGATGACTGGGGCATATTTGTGCTGGGGGGGATTTTTTTTTTGGGGGGTGGGATTTGTGCTAGGATGGGGGATTGGGGGGAGGGGCATTTGTGCTGGGGGGGGGGGTGATTGGATAGGAGAGGATTTGTGCTGGGGAGGAGAAATTTGAGGAGTAGAGGATCTGTACTAGGAGGAGGGTATTTTTTGGGGTGAGAGATTTTTGCTAGTAGGGCTGATTGGGGCATATTTGTGCTAGAGGGGAATTTTTTTTTTTTGGGGGGTGGGATTTGTGCTAGGATGGGGGATTTGTGCTGGGAGGAAGGGGTGGGGTTTGAAGTGGGGGGAGGGGAACTTGTGCTGGGAGGAGAAATTTGAGGGGTACAGGATTTGTGCTAGGAGAAGAGTATTTTTTTGGGTGGGGATATTTTTACTGGGAGGGAGGATTTGTTTGGGTGGGTAGGATTTGTGCTAGGATGGGGGATTGGGGAGGGGGATTTGTGCTGGGAGGAATGGGCGGGGTGTGGTTTGAAGTGGGGGGGGGGGGGAGGATTTATGCTGGGAGGAGAAATTTGAGGGGTAGAGGATTTGTGCTAGGAGAAGAGTATTTTTTTGGGTGGGGATATTTGGACTGGGAGGGGGGATTTGTTTGGGTGGGATTTGTGCTAGGATGGGGGATTGGGGGAGGGGGATTTGTGCTGGGAGGAAGGGGCTGGGTGTAGTTTGAAGTGGGGGGGAGGGGGAGGATTTATGCTGGGAGGAGAAATTTGAGGGGTAGAGGATTTGTGCTAGGAGAAGAGTATTTTTTGGGGGGGGATTTTTGGGGATATTTGGACTGGGAGGGGGGGGATTTGCTTGGGTGGGTGCAGGGGGGCAGACTGACAACTCATGGGGGCCCCCGGGCAATATGGGATCATGGGGCCCCTGTGTCCTTGACCAAACTCAAAAAAGCCTATAAAAAAGGTACCAGGGACATCTCATTGGGCCCCCTACTGACCCACACAGTGTTAGGGTGTGCGACTTGGGAATTTGGAACAGCGTGTGGTGATGAAGTTTCTTGTGAACGAAGGTCTATTTTGTAAAACACTCAGATATATAAAGGAGACTTCAAGCACAGTACGGTGATGAGACGCTCAGCCGCAGTAAGACATTTGAATGGAGGAAACATTTCAAAGATGGCCGTAGGTTAGGTTCGTCAGTAATGACCTGGCCGTGGTGGTTCCCAGCCCACAGCAGTCATGACTGAGGGACATGCAGAATATCGAGGCTAATCATCTTACTAGCCACCTAATAAAGACAACCACCCCTCTCTAAACCAGGGGTGGACTGACAACTCATGGGGCCCCTGGGCAATAGGGGATCATGGGCCCCTGTGTCCTTGCCCAAAACTCCAAAAAAAGCCTATGAAAAAGGTACCAGGGGCATCTCATGGGGGTCCTTTACTGACCCCGGGCCCTCGGGAAGTGCCCGAGTTTCCAACATGGTCAGTCCGCCCCTGGGGGTGGGTGGGATTTGTGCTAGGATGGGGGATAGGGGGAAGGGAGGGGGATTTGTGCTGGGAGGAAGGGGGTGGGGTGTGTTTTTAAGTGGGGTAGGGGGGAGGGGGAGGATTTATGCTGGGAGGAAAATTTTGAGGGGTTTGAGGATTTGTGCTTAGGGGGTAAGCGTGCAGATTAGTGCTCGATTCTTTTGGGGGGAGGGGATTTTTGGTGACACATAATGCTCATACATCATGGGGGGGGGGGGGGGATTTGGCATGTTTGCCCTGGGCTCTAGATGACCTTGTCCTGGCACTGCCAGGGAAGGCAAGCATGCAGAATAAACCTGACCTTGAATTTGTTGGAACTGCTGAACCTGAATCTGTTGAAGTATGTGTTGATGTATATCATAGTGTGCGGGCAGCCATGATCTGCCCACACTTCAGAGAGAAGCACAGATACCCAGTGATGACATCACTGGGTCTAAATAAGGTGTGTAATGAAAACATCCAGCCATCCGGTATTCTGGATAATCAAAGTGTTCCCTGTTTTTACATGAGCCATTTTTTCAGTGAAGGGTCTACAGCAAACCTTCATCAGAATCAGAACTTTATATTCAGATTTGTGAAAAAAAAAATGATTTCTTTGTATTTATTCCATTTCAGGGATTTCCATTCAGAGCATTTTCCTGGTCTGTACTTCAGGCCGTCAGCTCAATGAACCCTCGACTTGGCCCCTCCCGTACCTTAAACGTAGCATGTACTGATTATCAGGCAAATTCTTCGCTGGTTCCTGGGGTTACAATATCAAAAGAATACATTGTTGGGGTTCCAAAGCAGAGTGTTGGGGTACTTACAAGGGGTAATCATACGAGATTTATCGGTTTCTGGGGCGCCATTAGTTCATGGGGTTCACAAATTTTCCTGGGTAAAAATCAAAGCATACCGGGTGGGTAAGTATAGCCAAAAAATGTATTTTTTTTGGGGGGGGGATTTGCCTTAATTTTCCTGTCCAGGTGATACAACAGGGAAGTGGTAGGAAATGTCTACAAAGTAAGGGAAAGTCCCTTCTCTGGCGGTTGTCTTCAGAACAGGCGACTCCAATGGAAGATTTTCCCTCACTTCTTGTTCTGGGGATAACTATGTAATGTTGGATTTCCCTTTACTTTCTGCTCAGGGTGACAATGATTATTAGGTCACATGGAAAAGGTAAAGTGTTGGGGTTACAGGGAGGGTTAGTGTTGGGGTTACAGGGAGGGTCAGTGTTGGGGTTACAGGGAGGGTTAGTGTCGGGGTTACAGGGAGGGTTAGTGTTGGGGTTACAGGGAGGGTAAGTGTTGGGGTTACAGGGAAGGTTAGTGTTGGGGTTACAGGGAGGGTTAGTGTTGGGGTTACAGGGAAGGTTAGTGTTGGGGTTACAGGGAGGGTTGGTGATGTTGTGACAGGGTGGGTAAGTGTTGGGGTTAAAGGAGGGTTAATGCTGGGGGTTACAGGGAGGGTTAGTGTTGGGGTTACAGGGAGGGTCAGTTTTGGGTCAGTGTTGGGGTTACAGGGAGGGTTAGTGTTGGGGTTACAGGGAGGGTCAGTGTTGGGGTTACAGGGAGGGTTAGTGTTGGGGTTTACAGGGAGGGTTAGTGTTGGGGTTACAGGGAGGGTGAGTTTTTGGGTTACAGGGAGGGTTAGTGTTGGGGTTAAAGGGAGGGTTAGTGTTGGGGTTACAGGGAGGGTTAGAGTTGGGGTTACAGGGAGGGTTAATGCTGGGGGTTACAGGGAGGGTGAGTTTTTGGGTTACAGGGAGGGTTAGTGTTAGGGTTACAGGGAGGGTCAGTGTTGGGGTTACAGGGAGGGTTAGTGTTGGGGTTACAGGGAGGGGTCGTTAGTGTTGGGGTTACAGGGAAGGTTAGTGTTGGGGTTACAGGGAGGGTTAGTGTTGGGGTTACAGGGAGGATTAATGCTGGGGGTTACAGGGGAAGGGTGAGTTTTTGGGTTACAGGGAGGGGTGTTACAGGGAGGGTTAGTGTTGGGATTACAGGGAGGGTTAGTGTTTGGGGTTACAGGGAAGGTTAATGTTGGTGTTACATGGAGGTTTAGTGTTGACATTATGGGGCAGGTTAGTGTTGGGGTTACAGGGAGGGCTAGTGATGTTGTGACAGGGAGGGTTAATGCTGAGGGTTACAGGGAGGGTGAGTTTTTGATGTTGCAGGGAGGGTTAGTGTTGGGGTTGCAGGAAAGGTTAGTGTTGGGGTTACAGGGAGGGCTAGTGATGTTTTGACACGGAGGGCTAGTGTTGGGGTTACAGGGAGGGTTAGTGTTGGGGTTACAGGGAGGGTTAGTGTTGGGGTTACATGGAAGGTTAGCGTTAGGGTTACAGAGAGGGTTCATGTTGGTGTTACATGGAGGTTTAGTGTTGACGTTATGGGGCAGGTTAGTGTTGGGGTTACAGGGTGGGTTAGTGATGTTGTGACAGAGAGGGTAAGTGTTGGGGTTACAGGGGAAGGTTAGTGTTGGGGCTACAGTGTGTTAGTGTTGGTGTTATAGGGTGGGTTAGTGATATAGGGTGACATAGAAGGTTATAGGTAGGGTTACGGGGGGGTTAGTGTTGGGGTTACATGGAAGTTTAATGTTGGGGTTACAGGAAGGGTTAAGATTAGGGTCAGGCGTTAGGGAATCCATGCACCTTAATCTTCCCTAACTGATTTTGTTTTTGCTCAATGACCATCTACCTTTAAAATGTTCGATCATGCCGTATGTTATTCTCATAACTATACATATATGGCTGTGTCAACTCTTACCTTTGGTGGTTGAACCTTTTCATAAAGCGATTCCGCCGGAGACGTTGAACAATCCCCTTTGGGTCCTCCAGATGGAGACTTTTGGTCATTTTTGCCCTGCAATACACAAAGAAATACTTACAGTAAATGAGACTATAGTTTCATATTTGAAGTACCATAGGCCTTGTGTGGTTTTCTTGGTAGCAGGGAGTCTGGGTGCCCCAGTTTAGTTCCATGATCACCTACCCGTGAAATATTACATCATGCAGTATATAAATCTCATATCAATATGTATAGGCTGCGTTGACTCTTACCGTCGGATGTCGAACCTCTTCATAAAACGTTTCCATTGGAGAATTTGAACAATTCCCTTTGGGTCCTCCCGTTGGGGACTTTTGATCTTTTTTGTCCTGCAAAGCACAAAGAATTTTTTAAGTGTGACTACAGTGTCATGTATGTTATGGGCTTTATCAAGCTCTCATGACCATGCATGCTATATATGCTACATAGCTTCCTACCTTGGATGGCTCCGACACTTTGCGAGGTGATTTTCGTGCAGCTTTTGATGGATTCCCATTGGCTGGGATAGGTGGGATCTTTTGGTCCTTTTCATCCTGCAATGAACAGAAAATTTCAGAGGTCTTATAGGTTCATCAGCCTCCCACTGTTAACTGTTGAGGTTCAGGGGCAGCATGGAGGCAGGTTGCCTACATTAGTTAGTTAGGTAATGGCTGGCCCAGGTAGTGGAAGAGGTTAATCATTTTGTGCCGTTTTCCCAGGCATTTTGGACCCAGCCTACCTGCCCTGTGATGCATATATAAGGAGGGAAGGCTGGGTACTGGGGCTCTCTGGTACATCGCTCCTGTTCTTCTTGGCTAGAATGCTGTGACGCTGTCCTCTATGGAGAGGGACTGCTGCGCTCTGCAGTCTGCCCAAAGATACCAATCTCTAGAGAACCACCACCCAGGGGCGGACTGAAAACTCATGGGGCCCCCGGGCAATAGGGTATCATGGGACCCCTGTGTCCTTGCCCACACTCAAAGCACACCCAAAAAAGCCTTTAAAAGGTACCAGGGGCATTTCATGGGGCCTCCTACTGACCCCCGGCTCTCAGGCATTGCCCGAGTGCTCGAATGGTCAGTCCGCCCCTGCCACCACCTGATGGACTCTTTTCCAGTTATGGACTTACAGCTTCGTAATGTATGCCTGGGCAGCCACAAGAGTAGTTAGCTAGGCATGTAATACACAGTGCACTGGACTTGTACTTATGTTGCTGAAAGTTTTCCATTGAAGTTCGTTGAACTGTTTCCAGAACCTGGTTTGAAGTTACTTTACAGGGGTGCATGAAGGTTCCTAGAGTATGAAAGGACTCGGGCCAGTAAAAGCACATATGGGGTATAAAGCAGGTTCATTACAAAGAGTGAACTCAAGGGAGTAGCAGTTGCTACCAGTAACCAAGGACTGGTGTAAAGTGAATAGCAGCCTGTCGTGAAGTGTGGTACCTGGGTAGGTTGAGGTGTTCTCTGAAAACTAGGGGGTCGGTGCTTTTATTGCCTCCCCAGAGGTCAGTTTCCTGTAGCCACCTGAACCATACTGAGACATCAACCTCACCATCTGGTACGGGGGAGAAGGAGTTAACTCTAAGTACACGTATGAGGTCCACGCAGGTGCACAACAGGACCCCCTCACTTCTGTCATTGGGAGTGAGGTGACAGAGGTACGCTGGAATGGGTGGAGAGGGCATAGGCTCAGCAGTGTCCCTTCTAAATGCAGTAGTTCACAGTCAAGGTGTGTGGTGACATGGGACAGCATGTTCTACGGGAACTCAGCAGATAATCATGCACAATGCATAACTCATCTCTATGCTAGGGTGCTGCCTTAACGTTGATTTCATCTGATGCTGCTTTCCATCTGGTCCCAGGCATGGATAAGCTCATGCATGGAAAAGGTACACCATGTGCAGGGTGTGTGACTCTGCCCATGACCTGGTGTAGTCCAGGCCCCCTTGAACTTACAACTTGGCATAGTCAACAAGGATATGTGGCCCCATCCCACAATCATGGCAAGCAACAAAAGGCCACAACTTGGGCCTCAATAGAGCCCAAATGTACTGGCTAGGTAGCAAGGTTTGGCCACAACTTGGGCCTCAATAGAGCCCAAATGTACTGGCTAGGTAGCAAGGTTTGGCCACAACTTGGGCCTCAGTAGAGCCCAAATGTACTGGCTAGGTAACAAGGAGACTGGGTGCCCTACTTTTCCCATGAAAAGATGTTCGGCCACAACTGTAATAATAGGCTGTGTTGATTCCTCCTGTGCATTGTTGCAGTGTTCTCCAACACTGTTGAGATGAAGAAGATACATCCTGGTCAGGCAGTAGGGAATCTGTGCACCCTAACTGTCCCCTCTGTAGGTTTTTTGTTAGTCCAACAGCCATCCACCTTTAAAATGCTGGAAATAATTCCAATCACTGTGAGAATAGGCTGTTTCGATTCCTACCTTGGGTGGTTGAACCTGTGCATAAAACGATTCCACTGGAGACTTTGAACAATTCTCATTGGGTCCTTCCGATGGAGACGGTTGGTCATTTTTGTCCTGCAGTACACAAAGATAATTAAATGACCGAGTGTAATATTTGAAGCATTGTAACCCATGTGTTGTTCTCTTGTCCTGGCCAGACAGCAGGGAGTTTGGGTGCCCTAATTTGCCCTTGAAAACTCTTTTGAGTTTGATGGCCATTTATGCATCAGTTCCTACCATGTTTGGTTGCACCTGTGCATAACACGATTCCACTGGATGACTTGGAAGATCCCCATTGGCTCCTTGAGACGAAGTCCTTTGGTCATTTCTGCCCTGAAATACACATACTGTACATTTTTCAAGTGTGTCATATTTTAAAGAGTTGTAGGCTTTATGAAGCTTTTATGACCATGCAAATGGTACAGTATATGCTACGTAGCTTCCTACTTTGGATTGCTCCAACATTTTGTGAGATGATTTCTGTGCAGCTTTTAATGGCTTCCCATTGGCTGGGATAGGTGGGATCTTTTGGCTGTTCTCATCCTGCAATGCACAGAAAATTTCAGAGGTCTTATGGGTACATCAGCCTCCCACTGTTAACTGTTGAGGTTCAGGGGCAGCATGACGAGCACCAAAAGGTCACAGGTTTGGCACCAGGGGCCTCAATAAGGCACAAATGCACTGGCTAGGTAGCAAGTAGGCTGGGTGCTCTACTCTTCCTTTAAAAACTCATTTGAGGGTGATGGCCATTGTAAAATGTTCAGCCACAACAGTGTTGATTCCTACCATGCATGGTTGCACTTGTCCATAGCACATTTCCACTGAAGCCCATTGGCTTTACAAAACGCTTAAAACCATGCATATGTGTTGAATAGCTTCCTACCTTGGATGGCTCCAACACTTTTTGAGAGGGTTTTGGTGAAACCTTTGAAGGTTTTACATTGGCTAGATGAAGTGGTATCTAGGTTGTAACGGAACCGGACCCCGACTGCACTAGGGTACTTCCGTTAGACTCCCGCTTCCCTGTCCAAACACAGATCCACGGACACCACCGCTGACCATACAAGACGAAACAGCATCGGACTTGTATTAAAACAGGAAATAGACTGCTTTATGTTAACACAGACACAAGATATAAACATTCAAGGGAACAACCCACCTCCCTGCATAAGAACACAGGGTGGGGCAAACCAAATCTAGTAACAAGAGACACACAGCAGACACCCCCCACCAAACCAATACACAAACACATACATCCCATAATAGTTTGCTCCCAAGCAAGACACACAATAGAACAATGGGACAACAACATGGCATTAAACAATGAACAACCCCCCACCTATACATGTCTACACAATATCAGGACATTTCACCCTGTACCCCTAACACGCACAGGGTGACTTACACATAATAGGGATATGGGGAGCTGAGAAAGGGGTCTCCCCGCCTCTCCAAAGGGGGCTTTGTTCCATTGACCCCCACCCAAAGTCACTCCCGTCACATAGGTGGTATCCTGCCACTGTGGACTGCTGGGGCTCAGTGGCACCAAAAGGTAGCATGTTAGGCACCACGATCCTAGTTAAACATTCTGGCCAGGCAGCAAGGAGTCTGAGTGCCCTAAATATCTCTTGAAAACTCATTTGAGTTTGATAGCCATTTATTGCAATATGCTTGACCATATGTATCCCTCTTAAATATAATAGGCTGTGTTGATTCCTACTGTTTGTAGCTGTCACTGCACACGATGGGATTCCACTGAATGTTTTGAAAGATCTCCATTGACTTTATGAAACTTTCATGACCATGCATAATTACTATGTAGTGTCCTACCTTAGGTGGCTCCGACACTTTGTGGGGGGGTTTCGGTGAAGCTTTCAAAGGATTTCCATTGCCTGGACTAGGTTGAATCACTTGGTTGTTCTTTTGCTGCAATACACAGAAATTGCCACAGGTATTATAGGGTCATCAGCACTGCAAAATGCTGGGGTACAAGACCAGTGTCAGGGCTCTGTCCTCGGCAGAGGTGTTAGGAGACCTGGCATCCCTGCCAGTACCTTGCATGGCCGCAGAAGTTCACATCAGCTCAAATTTGGCTCCAAACAGCCTTTATAAGGAAGCCCTGCCCTACTCTCAGGTGCTGGTTGATCTCTGGCTTCCCAGTACCTTGTTCCTGTGCATTGTGATCTGTGATTTCCTGATACCGACTCGGCTTGCTCTTGGACCTGTCTTCTCTGCTTAACCCCTGATATGACCTCAGCTTGGCTAACGGATATTCCCTCTTGCTCCTCTGTGTATGACTTCGGCTTGGATAACGGATATTCCCTCTTGCTCCTCTGTGTATGACTTTGGCTTGGCTAACGGATATTCCCTCTTGCTCCTCTGTGTAGGACTTTGGCTTGGCTAACGGATATTCCCTCTTGTTCCTCTGTGTATGACTTTGGCTTGGCTATCGGATATTCCCTCTTGCTCCTCTGTGTATGACTTCGGCTTGGCTAACGGATATTCCCTCTGCTCCTCTGTGTATGACCTTGGCTATCCCATCTGACTACGCCTGTTCTGATTTCCACCTGGTACCTGACCTCGGCTTGAACTGGCTATCGTGTGATCCTCTGTTTCCCGGAATTCTTGCATACCTTGCACTGGCACCACCTGTCTTCAGATCCCATCTCAATGCATCAGCTGTGCTCCTGGGTGGACCACCAACGAGCACTCCTACAGGTGACCTGTGCCACTTTGGGCCTGACTCCTGCTGTCCCACTCTCAGGAAGTCTGGAACTTAGCCGCAAGGGAAGCCTCTCTCTCCATTGGCCTCTAACACCAGGTACGTGATAACCAGCAAGGCAAGCACCAGATGGCAGCAGGTTGGGCACCATGGGCCTAAATAAAGCACAAACTTCCTGGCCAGGTAGCAAGAAGGCTGGATGATCCAATTTTCCTGTTGAAAACTCCTTTGAGTTTGATGGCCATTCACTTGAAAAATGTTCAGCCATATGTATCCCTTTTAACTGTAATAATAGGCTGTGACCATTCCTATCATGTGTGGTTGTACCTGTGCAGGACACAATTCTACTGAAAGTCTTGAAAGATCTCCATTGGCTTTACAAACCTCTGATGGTCATGTATATTTGCTAGGAAGCTTCCTACCTTGGATGGATCCAACACTTTAAGGGGGGGTTTCGGTGAAGCTTTTGAAGGATTCCCATTGCCTCGAGCATCTTGTAGCGTTTGGCTGTTCTTATGCTGCAATACACAGAAAATTTCAAGTTCAAGGGCAGCATGTGAAGCACCAAATGGCAGCAGATTGGGCACCATGGGCCAAGATAAAGCAAAAAATGTACTATTCAGGTAGCAGGGAGCCTGGTGCTCCATTTTGAATTTGATGGCCATTTACATGTAGAATGATCAGCCGCATGTAACCTTCTTAACTGTAATGTTGGGTTGTATTGATTCCTACGTGCAATGGAAAAACAGAATGGTTGGCCGCACAAACAGCAATATGGTGGATGAAATCCTTTACATGCAATATGATAAGAACATGACAACTCCAAGACAGGACAGGAGAAGTATTGATTCCTACCACATGTGGTCGCACTTGTCTGCAGATTTTTGAAACTACCTTACAGGGGTGGACTGACATCTCATGGGGCCGCCGGGATATAGGGGATCATGGGGCCCCTGTGTCCTTGCCCAAACTCAAAAAAGCCCATGAAAAAGGTACCAAGGGCATCTCATGGGGCCCCCTACTGACCCCAGGCCCTCGGGCAGTGCCCGAGTTTCCAAATGGTCAGTCCACCCCTGCTACCTTATTGGCTCCATGAGGCTCTCATGACCATGCATATACAGCATGCTCCCAACTTTCCACTTTGTGAGGGGGATTCTATGTAAACGTTTAAAGGTTACCCATTGGCTAGGATAGGTAGGATCTTTTGGTTGTTATCCTGCAACGTACAGAATATTTCAGAGGCATTGGTATAATCACTAATGGGAAGATGTTACATTTTTTGCCAATTGAACATTCAAGGGAACACCCTCAGCCGGAGTTGATGGAGATGATGACCAACCTTTAAACCTCCAAGCAATGCATTGTGAGGAAGCAGATGTAGCGTCATGGACTTCCCTTTTTTTTTTTTTAAAGAGCACTGTCATTTGCATGCAGAAAGATGTCATGCCTTGGCAGCAATCCCAACAATTTCCCAACATTGTGTTTGGGTCATGGAACTGCTGTGTAGGGGTTTGGTAGCAGGGGCTAACTATGAAGACTTCGAATCCACTTTAAGTGACATATGCAGTTCAGTTTTGGGCACCAATTCACAAAAAGAACATTGGGGAACTGAGAAAGTACAGAGAAGGGCAACCAAACTGATAAGAGGCATGGAGGAGATCAGCTATGAGGAAAGATTAGAGGAACTGAATGTATTCTCTACTGAGAAGAGGAGATAAAAGGGGGATATGATCTCCATGTATACATACATAAGGGGGGATATGATCCCCATGTGTATAATACATAAGGGGGGATATGATCTCCGTGTATAATACATAAGGGGGATATGATCTCCATGTATAATACATTAGGGGGGGGGGGATATGATCTCCATGTATAATACATAAGGGGGGGGGATATGATCACCATGTATAATACATAAGGGGGATATGATCTCCATGTATAATACATAAGGGGGATGATGATCTCCATGTATAATAATAAGGGGGGATATGATCTCCATGTATAATACATAAGGGGGGATATGATCTCCATGTATAATACATAAGGGGGGATATGATCTCCATGTATAATACGATAAAGGGGGGGGATATGATCTATATAAATACATAAGGGGGGATATGATCTCCATGTATAATACATAAGGGGGGATATGATCTCCATGTATAATACAGTTAAGGGGGGGATATGATCTCCATGAAATAATACATAATAAGGGGGGATATGATCTCTCCATGTATAATACATAAGGGGGGATATATCTCCATGTATAATACATAAGGGGGGGATATGATCTCCATGTATAATACATAAGGGGGGATATGATCTCCATGTATAATACATAAGGGGGGATATTGATCTCCATGTATAAAATACATAAGGGGGGATATGATCTCCATGTAAAAATATAATACATAAGGGGGGATATGATCTCCATGTATAATACATAAGGGGGGATATGATCTCACATGATAAAACATAAGGGGGATATGATCTCCATGTTTAATACATAAGATGGGGATATGATCTCCATGTATAATACATAAGGGGGGAGATATGATCTCCATGTATAATGGTAAATACATAAGGGGGGATATGATCACCATGTATAATACATAAGGGGGATATGATCTCCATGTATAATAAATAAAGGGGGTATGATCTCCATGTAAAAATACATAAGGGGGGATATGATCTCCATGTATAATACATAAGGGGGGATAATAATAATGATCACTATGTATAATACATAAAGGGGGGATAATGATCTCCATGTATAATACATAAGGGGGATATGATCTCCATGTATTAATACATAAGGGGGGATATGATCTCCATGTATAATACATAAGGGGGGATATGATCTCCATGTATAATACATAAGGGGGGATATGATCTCCATGTATAATACATATAGGGGGGGGATCATATGTATAAACATAATGGGGGGCGGATATGATCTCCATGTATAATACATAAGGGGGGATATGATCACCATGTATAATACATAAGGGGGGGGGATAATGATCTCCATGTATAATACATAAGGGGGATATGATCTCCATGTATAATACATAAGGGGGATATGATCTCCATGTATAATACATAAAAATAAGGGTTGGGGGATATGATCTCCATGTATAATACATAAGGGGGGATAATGATCTCCAGTATAATACATAAGGGGGGATATGATCTCCATGTATAATACATAAGGGGGGATATGATCTCCATGTATAATACATAAGGGGGGATATGATCTCCATGTATAATACATAAGGGGGGATATGATCTCCATGTATAATACATAAGGGGGGATATGATCTCCATGTATAATACATAAGGGGGGATATGATCTCCATGTATAATACATAAGGGGGGATATGATCACCATGTATAATACATAAGGGGGGGATATGATCACCATGTGTATAATACATAAGAGGGGGGATATGTATCACCATTGTATAATACATAACGGGGGGGGATAATGATCTCCATGTATAATATACATTAAGGGGATATGATCTCACCATGTATAATACATAAGGGGGGGATATGATCTCCATGTATAATACATAAGGGGGGGGGGATATGATCTCCATGTATAATACATAAGGGGGATATGATCTCCATGTATAAATACATAAGGGGGGATATGATCTCCATGTATAATACATAAGGGGGGGGATATGATCTCCATGTATAATACATAAGGGGGGGATATGATCTCCATGTATAATACATAAGGGGGATATGATCTCCATGTATAATACATAAGGGGGGGATATGATCTCCATGTATAATACATAAGGGGGGATATGATCTCCATGTATAATACATAAAGGGGGATATGATCTCCATGTATAATACATAAGGGGGATATGATCTCCATGTATAATACATAAGGGGGATATGATCTCCATGTATAATACATAAGGGGGGATATGATCTCCATGTATAATACATAAGGGGGGATATGATCTCCATGTATAATACATAAAGGGGGATATGATCTCCATGTATAATACATAAGGGGGGGGATATGATCTCCATGTATAATACATAAGGGGGGATATGATCTCCATGTATAATACATAAGGGGGGAGATGATCTCCATGTATAATACATAAGGGGGGGATATGATCTCCATGTATAATACATAAAGGGGGAATATGATCTCCATGTATAATACATAAGGGGGGGATATGATCTCCATGTATAATACATAAGGGGGGGGATGATCTCCATGTATAATACATAAGGGGGGATATGATCACCATGTAATAATACATAAGGGGGGGATATGATCTCCATGTATAATACATAAGGGGGGATATATGATCTCCATGTATAATACATAAGGGGGGATATGATCTCCATGTATAATACATAAGGGGGGATATGATCTCCATGTATAATACATAAGGGGGGATATGATCTCCATGTATAATACATAAGGGGGATATGATCTCCATGTATAATACATAAGGGGGATATGATCTCCATGTATAAATACATCAGTGGGTTCATATGTAGTGAACTCGGTGTAGAGTTATTCACCCTGAGATCATCACAGAGGACAAGGAGGAGCTCTTTACGTCTGGAGAGAAAAGAAATGTAATCTCCAAACACGGAAAGGTTTCTTCACAGTGAGAGCTGTGAAAATGTGGAAAAGACTCCCTCAAGAGTTGGTTGTGGCCAGCTCACAGTGGATTGCTGTAGGAAAGTCCTGGATTCTTTCTTGGATACACAGAATATATAACTGGATATAACATCACATTATAATAGGTAAAGTTGATGAATCTGGGGAATATCCGATTGCCTGTCGAGGGATCAGGAAGGATTTTTTTTCCCCTGCAGGAGCAAATTGGATCATGCTTTGCTGTTTTTTTTTGCCTTCCTCTGGATCAACTGTGGGCAAGGGTGGACTGACAACTCATGGGGGCCCCCGGCAATAGGGGATCATGGGGGCCCCTGTGTCCCTTGTTGCCCAAACTCCAAAAAGCCTATGAAAAAGGTAACCAGGGGCATCTCATCTGGTCCCCTACTGGCCCCGGGCCCTCGGGCAGTGCCTGAGTTTCCAAATGATCAGTCCGCCCCCTGACTGTGGGTGTAGGATTATACTTTTTTTTTTTTTTTTAATGGTTGAACTGGATGGACTTTTGTCCTTTTTCAGCCAGACTAACTATGTAACTATGACTGTGCTTACTAAAAGTCACAAGATGCTGAGGGTTTGGTTTTAGATACAGAAACTATTTATTTCTGGCAGCAAACAGTTTGCGCAACAAAGGAACTTATGCAAATAGAGTGTAAAAGTTAAATTCATCAAAACTGTACACAATGTGACATGGGGGATGTTCAGCTCCATGATAGATGCATTTTCAAGTGAGTTCATGCTAGTCAGGAACTATATTTTTCAGGGCTTGTTAGCCGACTTTTATTAAAAGGAGAGGCAAAAAACAAACGTCCAACATAAAGTTTCCCACGCAGGGGTTCTTCTCCAATAACATATACA